GTTAGGACAAGTTTTTTGGAAAATATGATTCGTCTGGCTCCACCTTACCCAAATCTAAACATGATTCAGACATATGTATGTCAAGTGTGTGAAGAAACCCTTGCTTACAGCTTAGATTCCCCTGAACAGCTATCTGGAATAAGGATGGTTAGACATCTCACTACAACTACTGACTACCACACACTGGTTGCCAAGTATATGTCTGGATTTCTCTCCTTGTTAGCCATGGGCAATACCAAAACAAGGTTTCATGTTCTGAAAATGCTAATGAATTTGTCTGAAAATCCTGTCATGACAAAAGAACTACTCAGTGCTGAAGCAGTGTCAGAATTTATGAGCCTTTTTAACAGGAAAGAGACAAATGACAATATTCAAGTTGTTCTAACAATGTTTGAGAATATTGGTAACAATATAAAAAGGGAGTCAGTGTTGTTCACTGATGATGATTTCAGTCTTGAGTCACTTATTTCTGCATTCCATGAAGTTCAGGAATTTGCTAAGGAACTGCAAGGCAAAACAGATGGTCAAAAGGACCCTGAGGCAGACCGAGAAAATTAGTATGATTAATCACTTGCCTTTGTCCTTATGTTCCTAAGTTAACAATTCCTTGAATAATGTTTTGAATTACATAGTTGATTCTGTGTTGTAATGTATATCTTTATTGCCAACACTGACTTTGCCCAACTGTGTATGAGCTGATTCTTCTGATGCCAAATGAATATTAGAACTGAAAGCACATTTGTTGATATTTGTGTTTTTGTCCAGATTGTGACACTTACAAAGTGAACTGAACCATCAAAAGTAAGCCAGCTACCCTCCTAATTGTTGTTCTAGTGTATTGAGGTCTATTTGAGTCTTGTTTGTGTTTTCAATAAAGTTGTGTTAAAGTTGTCAGAAGTCACCCTTCTCCTTGAACTTAAAATATAGATGCAAAGTTAACACAGAAACGCATGCAGGTAATTAATGCATAAATAATATGCTCCTTGAAAAAGCTTATTCTAATAACTTTAAATGCAAGGGTTACCATGGACTGCTACTCAGGGCATGCCTCAGAGAAAAAGGACCCAATTAAGTTGGGCTCTGGAATATTTGAAAAAGTTTGGGTGGTGTGAAGAAAAGCATGGAGATGGAAAAGGTGTTTTCCATGGGAGTGAGTTATCCAGTCAGCCTGGAGTGGTTAAGGGACATAGAGGATGAGGTAAGTTTTGAAGAGCTGAGAAGTTGCATTTTACAGCTCAAAGTATGGGTGTTTCTTTGATACTGCCTAAATGTTAAAAGAATAAGACAGGAAAGTAGACACAATAAACTTGAGTCAGGAAAACCATTTCTTCAGGGTGGTGCCCATGGAAAGTGTTATGGTAACACCATACAGCCACTAAAAGTGATGATGTATAGATTTTTAAATTGAATAAGAAAGGCTCTGATGGTTAATTTGGTGAAATAGAAAAGACTGGTATCATACGTGGAAAGTATAACTCCATTATAAAAATAAATGTGTGTGAGTGGACCAAATTTATGCAAGCTTATATTTGATTATGGAAAAATCTGTAATATAAAACATATCAAGGGAATAAATAATTGTAAAAGACTACAATTTAAAAAAAGACTGGCTTGCCAAAAAAAAATACATAAGTTAAAGTGAATAAATTTTAAAATTTCCAAAAAGTTCCTGAATCATACTAGAGGTTTTTCACATTCAAAAAGGTAATACATATTCAGACAGGAGTGAAAGGCATACAGTTGTTTTGGGTGGGGGGTAGGGGATGAAGGGGAGTGCAGGTTAGGAAATATACAAAATTTTATTATTTTCAGGAAAATAAACAGACATGGTGACGCTGTTTTTTTTTTGTTGTTGTTTTTTGCTTGTCTGAGAATGCAGTGTTTTGTTCTTTTCCTACCCGATTCTGGTATTCAAGGTTTATGGAAGTAGGGCAAAGTGGCAGTTTTGCCTGCCTTCCCAAACCACAGGCATTAACAGGGATCGTCCTGGTAGTGGACACTGGAGTTTGAATGCTTGTTTTGCTCATCGATATTTTTCAAGGTAGACTGTGTGTGTGTGTGTTTTAATATGTCGCCCGAGTATCATACAGAATAATAAAAATC